ATATATATACACACACACACACACACACATCCAAAAAGTTAACCAAATCCTGGTGTTGAGTTTTTGAGCTGATTGTTAAATTCTCTGCTGTGTGCAGTTGGGTTATTGTATTACCCCAGACTTGTGGGTGAACTGTCTCAGTGCTGGTAGTAGCTGTGATGCAGTTTGTGATCTACCTGTCACTCCTGTTTATTGGATGAAATAAACTATCATTTCTGTATAATGAAGGTCTCTACGACTAGAATAAAACCATCTCTCTTTCTCTTGCTCTTTCTCTGGGTGATTTTCAAACTGTATTTAATTATAACTTCATCTTTTCATCCCATAGAGCTTAAAAAGCTAGTCATGCAAGCAGGTGCTATCACTAATAGGGAAGGTGGAACAGATCTGCATCAACCGTGGTGCCCAGGAGCTGCAGTAGAGTGAAACAGCTTGCCAGATGTGGAAGTTCACTCCCTTTCTCTGTTGGAAAGGAAAATGCATGGAGGTGCTTCAGTGACTGGACATACAGAAGGTGGGAGCTTTGCACACAAAATTGCTTGGTTCTTAAAGAGGTATTTTTGCCTGGGCTGTTTGTGGAACACAGCAAGAGGGTGTCAAGCTGTAGTTTTCTCTGTCAGGTGGTGACCTTTGGGCCTGTATCTGAATTGTGGTCTGACCACAGTCTAACAACATGGCCAGCTTCTACTTGGAAGTTGCTCTTAGGCTGAAGTGGGATTTCTCCCCTGGCATAAACTGGGTAAACCTCTTCCTATGGTCTCCATTCCAAAACAGTGAGTGCTACAGGTCTTGGAGCATGGTCAGTGCTTCTCACAGGGACAACCATGTTTCTCTAATTCCTGCATTTAGCACTGTCATCCCAGCAATTTCAAGATTCCTTAGACCCCTGTGTAATGGGGCTCCAGCACTACTGCTGCTGGAAGAGACCAGGAGCATTGGCATTGCTGACTTAAATCACTCTAACAGTGATGCCTGATTTAGCCCCGAGTGCTCTGGGCCACAGCTGGCTGTGGTACTTGTGGAATCTCTTATGGAATCTCCCCAGTACTCTGGTAGGACTGTAATAAGCTAAAAATCTCCTTGAAGGTGTTATTTTTAGTAGATATGGGTGTGGGTTGAGGGAATAGACCAGATCTCCAGTGCTTCCTTCTTACTGCTCTCTCAATCTTGCCTGTTTTTATGCATTGCAATTTCACTTCCTCAGCTGAGGCAATAATCGTTGCTTGCCCTACCCTGTCTGATTTTTTCCCCCTCACTAGAACAGTTCTATCTATCCCTGGTGTTACATAGAGGGTTATTATTAAATAATATATATATTTTAAGGCAAAAACTATATATTAAAGTAAATATTAGATATGTATTTACTAAAGTAAATATTAGGGTCTTATTTTGCAAAATGAGAAACTTCTAATGTGCTGGTTATTGAAGGTTAAGTATGTTCTGATGAGAATACCAGCTACCCTGCCCAGGCAAGATAAACTCCTATCCAGTGATCTACAGCCTTGTCAGACAAAGTCTCCTCTTCCTAGTGCAACAGCTGCTTCCTCTTGCTTGGTGCTTGGGGCCTTTATGAAGCATTTTTCTATTCTTCCTCACATCAGAGGTGCAGTTGCTCCAATTTAAAGTTCCTGGGTGTCAGCTGAAGAGTAGTTCCTGCTCTTAGTTCACTCTAAGTAAAAGTGGGGTCAGGGAAACACTTGTGAAGAGAACAGGGTGAAAAATTAAAATGAACTGAGGGTTGGTCTGGATGTGAAATGCTAGCAGAAACACCTCAGCCTTGCCAGCACTTTGTCTACAGGAAAACATTCACAAAGCTAAGGGAAAAGGGCATTACTGCCAGGGCAGGTGTTTTTAATAAAGAATTAATTCTTCACTTTTTTCTGGCCAAACTTCAAGGTCTAGACAGAAGAAATACATCTAGTCAGTACCCATCTGAATAAGTTTATTCAGAAAGCAAATTCATACCAGGATTAAGTCACCTCTGCCAACAGTCTGCAGCCTTTCTTCACTGGTCTTGTCTCCTTCACAGTACTAGAGGAGAACACCCAATAAATACTTACTCCATTTATAATAATGCTCTGTATTAAATCACAGCCTTTCCCCCATTAGTTATGATACACATTTATGAATAGCCTGAGCAGGCTTAGTCTCTCTTCAAGGAATATACAGCATTTTACAGAGATATACACTATGTACACAAACCCATGCAATCAGGAGCTTTGGAGCCTTGTGCTGTGCTGCTACCAGCCACCACTAGCATTATTCTAATGAAAGGAGTTCAAAAAACCAGCTTCCATCTTCCCCTGGTGGGTTCACAGGAAAGCACTCATACTTCTGTGTACAGTTTTTTTCAGTTGCATGTGGAAAAATTAAAGTGAACCATTTAAAAAACCAAAACAAATCAACTGAACCTACACTCAGTCTGCTTCTGGCACTAGAAGAAAAGCTCTCTCTCCTGTGCTGCTGTAAAGCTTGACTAACTTCAACACAGAAGAAACAAATGGTCTGTCTTTTTGTTGTTGACAAACCCAAAAACTGATACTGCCTTCCTGTGCTTGCATCTCTCCTACCTCAACAGGTTAACAGAGAGGTGGTGTGTGCTCCTTGAGGTGCTAGTCCATGCTTGTGACACTGGGGTCCCTTAAACCTCCACTGCTGAAAGTAACTATCCGAAGACCAGGCAGTTCTTCCCTGGAAGGGCAGTTTAGTTGCAGGATGTTCAGACACAGTTTGCTTTACTAGGGAGTTTGCTTTGCTGCTGCTTCAGGGGACTCTCTCCTCTCACCATGTTTTATTTTCTCTCCTTAGAATTAGGGCTGCAGCTTTGAGGCAGTGCCAGGTGCTACCTCCTGCTCTCAGGAACTTAAAACAGGGGCTACAGGATCTTGGATTCCACCCATCCCAAAATGGGAAAAGAGGGAAATTAAGTGATGGAGAACTAGAAGCCCTAGAGTCCAGAAATTCAAAACAAAGCATGTTTATTAAGTGGTTTCCTTTTACTTACTTCTCCCATTTTTTAAAATAAATAAAACCTTCAGACACATACAAGGAAACACATCATCCTTCAAAGTGCAGTTACATTTCCACCCCACTCCCAAGAATCACATAAAGCTTTGTCAAGTAACCAAAAAGACTGAAAAGGCAACCCTCAGTCCCAGCCCCTCGCCGTGAGAGTGCCCGGGGCTGTCGTGCTGCCCGCCCGGAGCCCCTCGCTTTGCGCTGTTCGGGGCTGACAAGGCTGGTTTCAGATACAGTCACAAGAGGCAGGCTGCAGAAGAAAGTTGGAAGTTTAAGATACAGAGTATGAAACAAAACCAACCTGTTTAGAGTCCAAAGAGTTTGTTACCAGAATAAGTTAGTTACTTTGGGAGGCCCAGAAGGAACTAGGCCGATTACAGTCATGAGTGATGATCAGAACCGCTGCTCAGTCACTGCTGTGCAACTGCCTGCTGGCAGCAGAGTCTGGGACAAGGGATTAAGTCATTTTGCCCAAAGTCACAGAATCCCCATTCTCCCCAGCCTGCCCCTGGCCCAGGTGAAGTGCCAGCACCAGCTGCCTCCCAGGATTAGCTCAAGTCTGCCCGTACTCCAAGCACAGCAAGTAACAGGAGAAAGAGAAAGGGAAGATGAGGTCTGATGTTTAAATTGACTTATGCCATCCCTCTTTCCTGATGTCTTTAAATTAGGTATCCATTCTGACCGAGGGCACTGAGCAGAGGTATGGGCACATACAAGTCAGTTAAGTCCTTTCAGGCTCATAGAAAATTGCAGTAAATAAGATTTAGCACTGCTTAAACTACCATGATTTTGACCTCATCGTTCTCATCAGCCCGGTAGAAGAAAGGAATGCAGGGGTTTTCTAGCGGGGAGCCCAGCCTTTCCTGTGGGTTCTGGATTTCTCTGAGAAGCTGCATTATTTGCTGTGCTGTGGGGTCCTCTTGGCTTGGCTGAGCCACTTTACTGTCAATAGGGGAGAAACCAGATTGATGAAGAACAGCAGCCTCTTGTTCTGCTTCGTCTGACAAATTCACTTCTCGTAACCCTGTAAGGAACAGAGACAAGGCAGGCAGGTAACTCCCTCCATCCGTGCACAACAGTGAGACCTGGGGCTGTTCAGTTTTACAGACCACGTCCCAGCTGCAGCTTACCTTCTCCATCAGTAGCGTTCAGTTCAATGCGCCTCTCCCCTGGCAGAACACTTTCATCCTGGCTTGCTAACAGCTCTGGGTTTTGAGCAGCTGCTACATACTTGCTGTACCATTCGTTTCTTTCCCTGACCAGACGCATCACTAAATCCTGCAGTTCCAGTAGTTTTATCTGC